TGCAGCCTGGTAGCATTTTGCTCATTTGGTGTCACTCAGTGTTATCAATGACATAAATGCATTCCCCTGCTGTCCAATGACATCCCTCCATTGCAGTTGCCTGGGCCTCTGGTTATGCAGCCTGGTAGCATTTTGCTCATTTGGTGTCACTCAGTGTTATCAATGACATAAATGCATTCCCCTGCTGTCCAATGACATCCCTCCATTGCAGTTGCCTGGGCCTCTGGTTATGCAGCCTGGTAGCATTTTGCTCATTTGGTGTCACTCAGTGTTATCAATAACATAAATACTTTCCCCCGCCGTCCAATGAAATCCCTCCCATGAGACATATTTAGTATCAAATCTATACTGCCTCTTTAAGCTGGTATTACCTAATATATTTTTCTTGTTTTGTTTTTATATTAAAGCTACCATTCTGTCCTGTGGATGGATAATATACTTGACATATTACAACTCCCGGAATATTGGCCTCATACTGACTCTGATTATCAACAGACTCTACAAACGTGGATATATTCACATAGGTGAGTGAAAATTATTCCATAAACAGTAATCATAATGTATTTTTTTAGTTTGTTGGTGGTATACTGTGTCAGTTGGTGTGCTGAAGAAAGAATACCTTAGCATTGTTTCATTGTAAGTATAAAGTGATTATGGATAATTACTATGGGTAATTTTTTTCTTCTGTCGAAAGATAATTTAGCATTTGAACGCAGCGTGATTATGTGAAACCCTGCATTTCAAGAGTATTTAGCCTTTAGCCTTATATTCAAAACCACCAAGCGTTAGTGCCCTGTGTTGGCAAGGAGATGAGGTTCGAAGACTTTGGCCACCTGTGCTCTCTCCTCCACCTCTTGCAGGCTCGTTCTCCTTCTCCGTACTGTCAGGGAAGGTCATGTTCCGGGACGTGTACTACATCAACGAAGACATGTCCATCAGGTGAGACAGGCCCCACATCAGCTCCCCTGCAGACGAGTGCAGGCTACGGTGGTTTACCTGCCGTTCCAGCAGGTGGCGCCATACAGACTCCCTAACAGAACACGTGCTGAGTATTTCCATCCCTCAGTGTTAACTTATGAACCCGCCCATCTGTCTGTAACACAGGCTGCAAAATAAAACCTACAATGACCCACTTGTTTGTAGTTTATGGTGTCTTGAAAGGCTTAATTTGTTTATTAATGATTGTTAATTTCTTTATTAGTTGTTATCTATAGTGTTGAAAGTAAAGATGATTATCTGATTTTGACTGGTTGGGATTTGACGAAATGTAGGAAGGCGTGGAATGCCATCGGCATCCTGAATGGGAAATGATTTTGAGAAAAAATAAGCTTTGCAGTTTATCTTGGACCCCGGCCATGGTTTCGGGTCGCAGGGCTGTTCAGATGGATCTGCTGCCAGGCCTGGAGCTCTGATCTCCAAAAGTTTGCCGTCTTCCCAGTGTTTACTAATTTTTGCTGCTTCTTTCAGGATCCAGGACGGCCTGCTGATATTTCGCTGGTGGAAAATGTATAACCCAAATCAAAAATTACATGGTAAGGAACCGCTCTCCTCAGCTAGAGATCTGCTGAGAGCCATTGCAGACGGGGTCAGATGTTCTCAGCAGTGTTTCTGGATTAAACTGACAGGATTGTGTGGGCAACTTATAAGTGGGACAGAGGGTCACCAGCTTGTCAGCACAATCGTCAAGTACAGGACACTAAGTGTCATCAAGCATTACTGATTTACATTGTAGGCGTCATGCTTTCCTATTCTGATAATAAAACCATCAACAGATGAGATGACTCATAAGGTTTGAACAACAATAAGACACTCAAGTAAATCACCGGAAGTACAGTAAGTAAGAATGTTTATCCCCTTTGGGACGACCTGTAAGAGAATTAAATCAGTTATTCAGCACTGAAGGTTAAATGAGCACAAGTGCAACAAAATGAATGTTGTTTCAGTAGAAAGCAAAAGTATTTACTGACACAAGGATAAGATACTAAAATTAGCTGAGAAGAAGCCTGTTTACAGTGAAGAGTTATGCCTGTGGGAAGGGTTAAACAGCGACACCTGCTGGTGGTACGAGATTAAGCGCTACTACATGTTTAAAGACTGAGCTTCACCATTTTACCATAAGGTTAAGTTAGTGTAAGCAGAAGCTTCTGTTGTTCTTAGACCCAAAGGCTGAGACCAGACTGTACACGACTGTAAACGGGTTCGAGTTCCACGTCTACAACCGTTCGGGCCTGTACGCTCGGCTTCAGGACATCTTTGGCCTGGAGCCGACGCTCGCACAGCCTAAGAAGGACGAGGAGAAGGGGAGAGATGGTCAAGGGAAGACCCTTGAGAGGTGAGCAGGTCGCTGCCATTCTCTGTGCTGTTCTTGTTCGGCTGCCATTCTGGGATTATGCGACCGCAGAGCGCAGAATAAATATTCTGCAGAATTCTACCTGATCCATTGTTCTGAAACTTGTGTCCTGGTCTGCTGTTCGAAGCGTAACTATCCAGACGGAGTCCCAAGATGCTTCATCCTCCTGGAGGTCACTCATCCCAGTCATCAAGGTCAACATCAGCACTGTGAGTCTCACTGATCTGGGGTCAGCTAGAATTGGGATGGGTGCCTTAAGGTCCAAAACAGCGCTGTGAGTCTCACTGATCTGGGGTCAGGTAGAATCGGGATGGGCGCCTTAAGGTCCAAAACAGCGCTGTCAGTCTCACTGATCGTTTTATTGATTTGGGGTCAGCTAGAATAGGGACGGGTGCCTTAAGGTCCATTACAGCACTTTGAGTCTCACTGATCTGGGGTCAGGTAGAATCGGAATGGGTGCATTAAGGTCCAAAACAGCGCTGTGAGTCTCACTGATCTGGGGTCAGGTAGAATCGGGATGGGCGCCTTAAGGTCCAAAACAGCGCTGTAAGTCTCACTGATCGTTTTATTGATTTGGGGTCAGCTAGAATAGGGACGGGTGCCTTAAGGTCCATAACAGCACTGTGAGTCTCACTGATCTGGGGTCAACTGGAATAGAGATGGGTATCTTTAGGTCCATAACAGCTCTGTGAGTCACTGATCTGGGTTCAGCTAGAATATGGACAGGTGACTTAGCGTCCATAACTGCACCGTGAGGCTCATTAATCGTTTTACTGATCTGGGGTCAGCTAGACTTGTTGACGGGTGGCTTAAGGTCAACAAGAATCTGTAGATGTGGACCCAAAGCCTCTGCTACATCCCTGCTCTTGTACGTCTGCTCCCGTCCATTCATTTCTGGGCCTGAGACGTGTAATGGTGTTAGCAGATGCCCAGCGGTCCTTCCTGGGCCTGCCTTAGATGTTCCTTGAATGGCATCCTGTTCCGACAGCATTAGCCTTTAATGACGGCGTGGCTGGATCCAGTCAGCCGGAAGATGAATGGAAGGTGCTGTATGGCGAAGGCTCTGTTTTGTTTGTGAAGTTCCTTATCTGCAACGCCCATGCCAGTCTGGCTGTGTAGTAACTGTTGGTACCATAAATGGGTATTTACGGACTTAGCGTTGCATCATGGGTAGGTCTTTCCTAATGCTTCTCACATTTTCCATTTCTTTCTATGTCTGTTCCCTCTTTCCGTTTTACTTGAAAATTCAGTTCACGAATGTCCCTTTAGCTTTAATTTTCTCTCTGAAATGCAGAACTGGCAGGGCATTCTAACAGTGATAACTATCTGCTGTACTGTCTCGCTGTGTCAGGCCTTTCATCTGTGTAGTTCAGGCAGGATTTAAGAAGGCTGGGGAATTGATTGAGGAGTAAGCTGATGTTGGTTGGAATGCCAGGAAGCTGAGTGGCATTTAAGGAGAAGCAAATATTTACGGTGAAGAATAACGTTATTGTTATGACTGTTCATTGCAGTGGGATATATTCATATTCATCTGCGGCACCAGGTGGCATTCCTGTTTTGTGTGAATTACCTTAGCGTTGTCAGGTTTTGCGATGCAGAGTCTATAAAGATATACAGATATAAACAAACAAACAAACAAATAAAGCTGTTTGTAAGTGAACAAACAAACAAATAAAGTGTATAAAGATCATTCTGTTATTTTGGTATAGCCCAGGTATTATTGTGGCTCCACCTCCTTACCCACAATCCTCTGTTTCTCGCGGTGTGTCGTTGCCCAGGGCCGCCTGGCCTTCGGGAACCACTACCTGCCGCAGACGCTGTGTGTCCACTTCGATGACGCCTTCCTGACCTACGCCACCAAGCCTCCCTCCAGCCGGCTGGACCAGTTCATGCACATCGTGAAGGGCACGCTGGAGAACGTCCGCGTCATGCTCATGCCTAGCCCTCGCTACCTGGGCCTGCAGAATGACGAGTAAGTCGCCAGACACGCCGGCCGGCCTGTAGGGGGCGACAAACTGCTGCACACACACCCACTCCAGTACCACTGGGTTTGCACAGTCCAAGTGGGTGTATGCTGGTTGAATTTGGCCATTTGATGAATAATCGCCTAAATGCAGTTATCGTTAATTAGCGTCATCGCTATCGTCACAGATAACTTAGCAGAACCCAGCGATTTGTTTTTAAAGGAGTCTCCATCTTCACTGTGCTATCAGCTTCATAGCAGCCCCTTTCGACAAACAGTAATATGCAGCCTCACAGAGACGGGGTGACATTGCTCACAAACAAAGATATTTGGCACCACAAAGGGGCTTGCGGGATTCTGCCTGGCATTAATCAGAGGGGGCGGGAGATGGGCCAGTATCTCTACAGGCTGGCCCGTGGGAGGCTTCAGGACGGCTCTTTAGCGCCTCGCTCTCCGAGACTGTCAGACCCATTAATCATGCACCGCCGTGATGTCACTGGTGATGTCACTGGCCTTGCATGCTGGGACCGATCATTTTAATGTGCATTCAGGGGACAAATAACCAAGCCTGATATGTGACTAGCAAACAGGTGGTCAGATATGGTGTCTCCTCCTCATTCGGGGTGAGTTTGTCTTCACTCCCGACCGCGACAGCTGGCGTCAGAGGGGGGGTAAATTGGTTTAGAAGTTCGTGGCTGCATTTTTTTTTCTCATTTTAAGTGAATCCAGAAGTAAGCACCGAGACCGGTCACAGCACTATTCCTCTTGGAGGTCAAAGTCAGCCTGAGGCTTTATCAGCCTCTGAGGGTTTCACTGTATAAAGGAGCAAAAGGATAAAACTGTAGGCTGGAAATGAAAAAAAAAAGTTCTTTTGTTATTATTTTTTGGGACAGAAGCACTAAGTTGTTGTGTAGTTGTGTTCCTGGTCCTGATGGTCATGTAAGTCGTCTTGCATGACGTGTCTTGTCCCCTTAAGGCCCCCAAGGCTCATGGGAGAGGGATTTGTGGTCATGCAGTCCAACGATGTGGACATCTACTACTACATGGATGAGCCTGGTATGTGGGTGCAGTGGGTGCAGTGGGTGCCCATACGCACTGTCTGTGCACATACGCACGCAACCCTGGATCACACTGTGTGTGTGTGCGTGTGTGTGTGTGTGTGTGTGTGTGTGTGTGTGCGTGCGTGTGTGCGTGCGTGTGTGTGTGTGCGTGTGTGTGTGTGTGTGTGTGTGCGTGCGCTGGGCAGGCCTGGTCCCAGAGGAGCTGGAGAATGGTGACGCAGAGGCCTGCGGTGAGGGCACCAAGCTACAGGACCTGCCGCCCTGCTGGGGCCTGGACATCGTCTGCGGCAAGGGGACGGACTTCAACTATGGGCCCTGGGCCGACCGGCAAAGGTAACGGCAGCTTGGTTCTAGCGCCACCTTCCAGACGGCAGCGTGAAGCACAGACAGGCTTCCTGGAATTTATGATGAATGGGGTTTTTTTTATAAATTTTTGGCTTTGAATGTAATCTGCAGAGCCCACAGCAACAAAGATAACATGTGCTTTAATGTAATGAAATTCTAAAAATCGTACAGTTTGATGGTGATAATGGTGTTGAAGTTTTACTGCATTAGTGTGAAGTGTATGCAGTTGTTTACGCACTTAGGTGTTTAAGGCTTAAGCATGGAAACATTTTAAGCATTGGGTTTATACGGCCTTAGTTAATTACTGCCGATGATTAGTGAGGTGCCAAGGGGCTCGTTGTCACGGTGCGTGGATGAGCGGGCCGTTCCTCTCTGGCTCGCGTCATGGTGTAATTTCGTTATCCCTCCTGTGATATTCTGGGATGGAAGTAGGGGGGGGATTTACTGGCAGATCCCTGCTTTCCCGCCATAACCGCAATCTTGTCCGAAGGGTGTGGATTTACCGGCAACTTCCGGATTGGCTGAAGGCAGTGAACATCTGGGCACCTCCGTATGAAGTGGGGGGGTTCACACTCACTGAGCTGCCCCCCTCCCCCCAGGGACTGCCTGTGGAAGTTCTTCCTGCCTGCAGACTACCAGCCCATGAAGGTGACGGAGATGGCCGCCCCCGGGGAGCGCCGACAGATCTTGGCCTTCGAGCTGCGCATGAACATCATCGCTGACGCCACCATCGACCTCCTGTTCACCAAAAACAGGGTACATCTGTGCACCTGTGTGTGTGTGTGGCTGTCCCATGTCTGTGTGTGTGTCTGTGTGTGAGTGTGTGCTGGTGTTTGACGTCTGCCATCCCCCCCCTTCTTTTAAAGGAAACCAACGCCATCCACGTTAACGTGGGGGCAGGCTCCTACCTGGAGGTGAACATCCCCATGACGGTCGGAGAGGATGGTAAGCTGCCGATGGTGTTGGTGCACTGCGACACGCTGTGCGGCGTCAGGCAGGTGGCTGAACACCTTCCAGGACCAGCACAGGACCAGGGCCTGCAGCCCCTGACCATCAGCTGTCATTGACCATCTACCTTCATCTAAGTGATCCTACTGGGGCGCATAGTCAAACACACAGATAACGATGGATCCGTTCCTCCATCAATGTACCTTAATTATACTATAGGGTATTATCACCTAATATTCTGGAAATATCAAAGGTGAAACAAAACATTTTGAGTGCCATTGGAGTACTAATTATACACTTCGTCATCCTTACTCTTTGAATAGTTTGTGTGCTGATTGAGCCGGTTGGGTTGCTTCAGAACTAGGGAAAGCTTAGGTATTGCTTCAGACGAAGGGGGTGATTAATGTCCCCTCTCTGTCACTTAGGTTTAACTGTGTTGGTTTTGGTCAAAAGTTAAATCCAGTTCATCATGGGCTCACCAGTCCTTCCATCTCTCGAAAGAATAAAACGTTCAGAGAATCGGTGATCCCTTAGAGGTCTCGTTGTCAAGCTCTGATCTAAGATCAGAATCTACAGTGTTCTCACAGACAGAAGCCTCTCCTTGCTCCGTTAGCTAACTCTGATCTGAGATCAGAATGTCTCCAAGAACAAAACCATTACCTGGGAGGTAACTAGCAAACAGGATGATGTAAAAATGAAATGTCCATAGCGCGTCCAGTTAAACCCCAAGTTGAGATCCTTTCATCCCTCTGGAGAGCCTGCATTTCGCAACCTGTCGCATGAAATGCACCGGAGAGAATCCAGGCACCGTTCCCAGGCAACCGTCAGGCATGCAGCAAGCTGCCCAGACAGATGCCGCTCGAACCCTGGTGGGGTAACTCAGTAACCACCGCTACTGCTCTTCCTGTTCAGGCTACTCCCCCACCATCAAGGGCCAGCTGCTGCATGTGGACACGACCAGCAGCATGCAGTATCGCACTCTGCTGGAGGCCGAGATGCTCGCAGTGAGTTCTGCCACCCCCCCACCGTCTCGCATTCTTCCGGATTACACTGAGCATTAATATACTCCAAAGCACAGAAAGCCTCAGTAGAGCCCTGACTGTTTATGCCGTGTGGCCCCCATTACACTGAGCATTAATATACTCCAAAGCACAGAAAACCTCAGTAGAGCCCTGACTGTTTATGCAGTGTGGCCCCCATTCCACGATGAAACATGGCTTCTGTGATGAAGCACTGTAATGCAGATACTGAGCCTAAAAGGTGTTATTAAAGGAACAGTATGTACGGGTCCAAAAAAGGTACATAAGGAAAAGAATCCGCACTTAGACGGGTTTTGGACTTTCAGTGAGCTTCCTGCAGCTTCTGCCAGACTGCGGATAACTGCATTAGCCTTGGGGTTATGATGCCCTTCACATGAGCCAGACATTGCTGTTGGACCTTTATATAATCATTCTGTACTGAACCTAGAAGACCAAAAGTCCCTTACTTGCCAAATGAAGTCCTAACATTTACGCAGCCTTTGTTTCCTAATCTTTAATAATATTGCATTTCAAGCAGTTTGCAGGTCTGTGTCTAACTCTGCAGTTTAGAGCCAGACTATGATCAGAAGGTTGCTGCTTCAAATCCCAGGGACCCCAGAACGATTTCACCATTGGGTCCTTGAGCAAAGCCCGTATCCCCAGTTGTAATAGGATGCACTCTCCGTTGTATGTTGCTTTGAATAGAAGTGTCTGCTGAAAAAATGAACCGGTATGTATTTTTTTGTTATTCATTACTAGACAAAATTAAGTAATATATTTCCATCTTTAGTTGCTATCTGCTTAGTTATTTTGTTGTTTTCTGCTTCTCACTCTGCGGCGGATCATTGCAGATTATAATCTGTTAGATTAGCAGATTGCTTCTGCGCTTTCTGCTTTGATCCTGTCGATTGTCTTGTGGGTAATGATCAGAGTAGTGATATGTCTGTATTTATATTCAGAATTTCTGTATCCACATTCACATTTTACCTGCCAAAGTGCTAATGTTTGTTCAGCTTAAGTTCCATCTGACAGAAACAAACATGGCTCTTGCATGCGTTCTTGTAACTGACAGTCTTGTGATTTCACTAAATTAGCCATTTTGCCCTAAATTAAAAATATGCCAGGGTGTACCTTTGCAAACAACATATGAAACTTGATTCTGAGTGTTCCGGAAGCTGTCAGTGGTAAAACACAGGGGTGAAGTTTAACATGTGCAGTGGATGGATGCACATGTTCTGCTGATGTTCTGGCATCGTAGCCACCTTGTCCTGCCGGCTGGAGAAATGCAGAATTAGGGGGGTTGTTAGCTCAGAATCAGGCCTGGGGGTGGGATCCCAGCCTGTCAGGTTGTTATGGTGCACAGGAGCATGTAACTGCTCACTTTGGACACGTGGCTATCGCCCTGCTTCTGTTATTCATCGCATTTGTAGCCTGCCCCCCCC